CACAAAGAGCCCCAGCTCAGAAATGGCACTGTCCGTCTGGTGACAGCTTACAACCCACGTCTCTGCACCAACCGTAGAGATCCCTGCGCATGTGAAGCACTCGGCAGGCCTGGTGCATTGGTGGCAGTGCGGAGGTGACCCTGAAACCTCCCACCTATTTTACACACACCCCCATCAGTGGCCACGGGTATAATGCAGGCCTTGCGACACAGCTGCCTGCAGTGAGAAGCATCAGCTCCACTCCAACAGAGGCCGGGACCACCTGCGAGCAGACATGGGGCCAAGGGCTGCTGCAGCTGCCCCCCCACCCCCACCGCCCCCGGTCTCTAGTTTTTGCCTCCACTCAGCGTGGCTGGTGGCTCTGAACTAACCAACGTCAGCCATCACTGTTCAGGGCTCAGTGCGTGCCATGTCGGGCAGGACCCCCAAACATGGCTCCCTCCTGGTAATGTCGCCCTCCCTGTTCTCAGAGAAACCAAGGCTTGGGAAGATTAACTAACTAACTCAAGGTCACAGTCACGAGTCCAAACTGAAGCAGTCTTGTCCCCAGAGTCTGCACCCTTAACCCTACATACACTGTCCCAGAGGAGAGCCTGGGCTGTGTAAACCTGTGAAAGAAGGATGCTGATTGGACGGGAGGGAAACAGGGATGCTACCTGGATGGGAATGAAACAAAGGTGCTGATTGGACTGGAGAGAAACGAAGATTCTGGTTGGCTCCTCCCCTTTTTTCCAGTTATAATTTCACCCTTCCACAGCACTGTGGTTCCAAACTAAGACTTCTACCCAGGTAGTAAGTCACACTTCAGAAAATACTTATTGTTAGTCCACACACTTACACTCAACCAGGCAGCCAGAATATGACCCCTTCCATCCGACGCATGAGGCAGCTGGGGGTTTACCAGCTGCCGGGCCACATCACCAGTCAATGGCATCCCCGGACCCTTTCTACCGCTCCCCCCACAGCTCTGGCTCCTCCTAAATAAAACGCAACTCAGTCCCAGCAAACAGGTGTCTAGTGGTGCATCTGAGTGTTAACCGTCACCTGAGACCTGGAGAACGCCTCCAGCCAGAGGGGCGCGGGAAGGAAGAAGGCGAGTGAGATACAATGCGGCTGTCCACGCATAACGTGCGTTTGGGAAACTCACACCCAAGTTTGGGGAACATCTGCATCTCCTGTCGTAACCACAAGCCCGAAAACCCTAACGCTCTGCTAACATGTTAGGTTTGCGATTTGAAGAGATTCACATCGTCTCCGAGGAGTTGCAAAACCACACACCCAGATCCAGCAGCACAGGCAACTGAGAACCACACCGGCCGCGAGCAGATCCGTCTGGACGTGAAACTCCGGAGCCAGTCCAGGCCGGAGGGCGCCACTGCCCTGCTGTGCGAGGCTTCCCCGCAGCTGCTCAAACACTGGGGGCTGCCAGGACCTCCTGGGGGGCTTGCACAGACACAGCCCCCAGGCTCTGACCGGGCAGGTCTGCCGATAACCTGCTTTCTTGGCCAGCACCCTCCAGAATGCAGACACGGGCAGGGCTCACACGCTGCTCTGCTCTCGGCTGCCCCACCCAATGGGGAGCAACAGGTCCCACATCCCCGGGCGGGCGGCTCTTACTAATGACACCAAAGAGGGCCAAACTCTGCAGGTGGTCCCTACTCTTCATCCTTTTGACTGGGGAGGGAGCTGTACCACTCATTTCTTGGATTTTAACACTTACATTCCCCAACCCCCTTGTTCCCCTGAGACTCAGTCCTCTCCCTTCACCCACCCAGATCCCTCTGAACAGCCAGTGCCGGAATTGCCCAATCTGTCAATAAGGTAAGAGTTTTCTAAACTACTATCCATATGACTCAATTTGTCAGTAAAAACTGCCACCAGCGCTGCGCTCGCAGAAAAATGTCCATAAACGCATTACTGCGACGGGCAGATCGATGTCTATAATAAAAACAAATAGATTTAACAAGTGCCTGCTTCCCCGAGCGATGCCATTGGTGGCCAGCGCATTCGGGCTCGCCCGGACTTCTGGGAATGGGGCGTGAGTGCGGCCGGGAGCTGCGGTCGGGAGCCTCAGCTGACCTCGTGAGTGTTCCCGGCAAGAAATTATTCCAACGAGGTTTTCCAAATAGTAGAGTGAACATACAAGGCACTTGGAGCTGTCTCACAATTCCTTTCACAGTCTCACACACACACACACACGACAAATTTCACAACCGTGAGCAAATGTGTTGCAGAATTTGTACCTGATTTGACCACAGGTGCATCACAGGCCGAATGAGTTTGCCTTGCGGGGGAGGAGGCAGGGAGCCTGCCGCCCCTCACTCTTCTGCTAAGCCCCCCATGTAACAGAAAACAAGTTGTGGCACAAGAAGACAAGTTTTGGCGTTCAGCCCGTGGCCGAGGATGTCACTGCTGTGTCAGTACCCCTCGGACAGCCCATTTAGCTGTAGCAGACAGTAGGTGGGGCTGCCATGGACTGGCTTTACTGCCAGGGGTTCTGTGCACTTCGCCGAGACACTGTCCCTGACAGATTTACAAGGGAGCCAGGGCGGCCCAAAGCGCACCTGCTCCAGCAAAGGTTACAAAAGGTCACACGAATGACTGATTCCTCCTCCCAGACAGTTCACTTCAACAGCCACCAGAAGGAGCAGCCAGGTACCACAGGCCATATACTCATCGCCTGGTTCCCAACCCCTGGGGCCCTCCCTCCCGTACGAGCTCTTCTTGACTGTTTAAGTCGAAAGACAACCAGACTCCTCCCACCGACCAGCAGCTACGGGGCTGTGGCCCAAATGCCACAGAACACACATCCTGCCGTGTTTTGTGCGCAACACCAGGTCTCCGACTTCATCTACCTGTGCTCCAGCCAGGCCCGCAGAGCTCACAGAACGGACAAGACCACCGGCCAGGGGGAAACCAGCCCTCCTGAACCTGACCCCCCACCCAGGCTAACCACACTGCAGACCAGAAACAGGGCCTTGGGGGAGGGGGGCTCATCTGTCACGAGTGGATATGACAATGCTGGTGCACAATCCACTCTCACCCGTGGTAACATTACAGCGTATGGGTCGGGCTGGTTAAGTACTATTCGATGATAACACCCCATCTCCATCTCTTTCCCAAAGGGGCCAAGTCAGACGCTGCCCATCCCAGGACGCAGGGGCAGGGAGGAGCACTGTGACAGCGCCCTGGGGGGTGGGGCTTTTCAGAGACCGCAGCCCAGCGTGCACCCCTGGAGCGACCAGAGGCCCAGAACACTCAGACCCTCTGGGGAAGTGGGCGGAGAAGAGGAAGGCTGTGCGGGGCCAGGGCCGGAGGCAGGTGTGCAGTGTGAGAACAAACCTGACCTGTGTCAACAATGACCTGGGGAGAGGGGAATCGGGGGGTGGGGTTTTGCTTCCTTTTCTTTTCTACCAAGGAGAATGTCCCACCACCTGGAAAGGGCAAGGACACCCCAGAAAGGGAGCTGAAAGAGGAGAATCTGGGGGTTTAATCACTGGCTCCTACAAGTCCTCTGTAAAATAAAGACAATCCAGTAACTTCATATTGTTGAAAACTACCGAAAACAGTAAACTGCATTCGGATCTGGAGAGGACTGAAGGAGAAGCGGGACGGGACCTCCCAGGGTCCTCTTCTCCACAGGCCTGGCCTCCCCTCCTTCCCCTTATGCAGGATGGACCAGGGTGTAGGGACCCTCGGCACAAAGGGCCAAATGCAAGACAAAGCCCCGGGGAGACTCAGCTGAGATAGTTGGGACCAAAGCGGAGAGAAAACGAAAGGCCCGAGAATCCCCGCTGCAAAGCAGGGGTGCATGTGCGCACCGAGGGCTGTGTTTCTTTCAACCCGGCTCTCCGGCTGGGGCGCCGTTTTAAAACAGAGTGTACTACTAGTTAAATCTAGCTCTTGTAATACAGGCCTGTTTTAATGAAAAGAATATTCACAGAGAAAACTACCTGAGCATGCTGTACTGGAGGCCTGACTCCCCCAGGCCCCAGGATATTATTCAAATTCTAACTCCAGGCAAGAGCCCAGGAAGCAAGCTCAGCCCACCCCAGCTGCTCCGGGACTCCGCCTTCTGTGTTGCTTCTGTGTTGCAGTGCAATGGGAGTGAACAGAAGACCTACTACCAGCTTGGGGTGAGGGCTACATTGTTTCCTTCAAACTCTTTGCCCCACCCCTCATAATGTGACACATTTGTCTCTTTTTCACCTCCCTGAATGCTTTATCTATTGAGGACTCTGGGAAATCCACCAGACAGCCTCTTGCTCTCCCGCCTTGGGATGGGGAGGGAAGCCTCATGAGACTGCCCAGTTCCCAGTGCTTCCTTTTCAACAGCTGCAGCTTCTGCCTCCGACAACCGGGACCCCAGCTGGGACCCCTCTCTGCACAGAGCGACATCCTCAGATCCCTGACTACCCAGCCCAGCGAAAGCATTTCCAGGACAGAAAGCCAGCCCTGAGCTGAGGGCCTGCCAGGGAATGCAGAAGGTGAAGAGCCCACGGTGTGAGGAGCCGCTGGCTCAGTGAGAAGTGCTCTCCTTTCTTATTCCGGCCTACAAGTCACAGGCGGCGGAACTGGCTCCGGGACTCCACCTGCGTGCTCCAGGTGTCCACAGAGCCAGTGAGGGTGCCAGGCATACACACAACAGCCACACAACGAGGACCCCCACCTGGTCCGCCTGTCCACCCGTCTCAAACAAGAGAGAAATGTGGGATTCGGCGCTAGGAACATACTCAAGCCTTAGCTGCTAGGGAAGTCCCCAGAGGGGCTTCTGGAAGCATCTTGGGAACTGAAGGCAAGGCGGCAGTCCCCTTGGCGCTAGTGAACAGGGCGGGGCAAGATGGTGGGCAAGACAGAGTGGAAGGTGCTGGCCATCTGGATTCGGGGCAGGGGCTGCCAGGTCCCCACACCAAGCCAAGGTCACTACAACTTGGTCCAGGGACCGCAGGCTCGGGGAAAGCCAGGCGTACGTGGGCACACCTGGGCACACCTAGGCATACCTGGACGCACGTGGGTCCTGCGCGGGGCGGGTGGGGGGCAGGGAGGGCACTCAGGGAGGGGCTGTCCCACGGGCTGCAGGTGCCCGCCCTCCTCTGGTAGAGCCCTGAACGTAGGCAGGAGGCGGGCAACACGGACACTACGGCCTGGCCCAGGGCGCAGACCGCCAGCAGCTGCGAGCGCTGCGAGTACCGTCAGCCGGCGGCCGGGGCACGTCCGGGGCGCGGGGGCGGGGCCTGGGCGCACGGAAGTGCGGGCCGGGCGCGCGGGGGCGGGGCCGGGGTGGGACCCAGGGCGGGGCGGGGCTTGAACACCGGGATCCTACGGCAGCACGCTGAGGAGGGGCCGAACTCGGGCCCCGCCCCCGTCCCGCCCTCCCCCGCCCCCCGCGCGTGAGCTCGGGCCAAGATTGGAGCGTGCCCAGTGCGGCGGCGCCCGGAGGCCTGTTCTGCCCCGCCTGGTTGGCCCACAGGTCTGGCCTGTGCCTCCGCGGCCTAATCCTGTAGCCGCAGGCCCTTCCAGCGGCAACAAACCGCCCGTGACTCTGGCTTTGTGCCTCAGTTTATCAAATGTCAGCCGCTTCCTGTATTGCCTCCAGGTGCTTGCAAGGAGAGTGGTGACGCCAGGTGCACCTACTAACCCTGTTTCTTGTACCAACCCTGGGGTGGCTACACGCTGAACAGGGGCTGCTCCCACAGGGCCGCACCCGCAGGACCCAGCGGGGCACCCTTCCGACCTGGTGCGCAAGCAAAGGGGCCTGGGTAAGCCTCTAGTGCAGGTGGTGAGCGGTGGCCGCGCAGGGCCCCTGAGATGCTGCCTGGTCCTATCTCAGTCGCTGTTCAGTGAGCACCCAGGTGCCGGGCACTGCTTGGTGTTGTACAGACATTATCATGGATTTAACTGTGTCCCCCAGAAAAGATATGTTGGAATCCTAAGCACCCCCACCCACAGTACTCAGAATGCGACCTTATTTGGAGATAGGGTCTTTCTACTGAAGCAGCAAGTTAAAATGAGGACATCCGGGTGGGCCCATAATCCAACATGCGGGGTGTGGGTAGCAGCCGAAGGCCACGTGCAGACAGACACAGGCATTCCAGCGAAGTTGGAAATCAGAGCGCAGAGCCCAACCAAGGAACACCTGGGCCCACCAGCTGGCAGAGCATCAGGAGCCCCGCCCGCCTGCCTGCGAAGACACCTGGATTTCAGAGCCCTGCCTTCCGGAAATAGGACTGCAACTGTGTTGCTTCGGGCCACCCAGTCTGTGGTACTTCTCACGCAGCCCTCGGAAGCAAAACAGATACATTGTGTCCAATGTGATTGGCATAATGACCCCAGGGGGTGGTACCTCCCCTGATGCTTCAGGGAGGTCTCACACCCCTTGAGGATTTCAGGGGTCCGTCCCTGGCCCACCTCCTAGGTCCTGTTTGCTTAGCAGGAAGGAAACCTTCCCCTTCGCAGTGGGTACAGCTCCTCCTTTGGGATGTGCCCCAAATTCATGCTTCGGTATTTGTGGCTCTCTGACCCAGTGCGTTAACACTGATAATAAAACGTGGCTCAGGGGCCCTCCACAGGGCTCACTTTGTGAGGAGCCTGGGGACTGTCCACAGACAAAAGAGCCAACAGGACCACAGACATGCTCAAGGCCCCCTCCCCCCAAGCCCCACCTTGGCTGAGACACCTTAGAAGCAGCTGCTTGTGGAGAGCAAACGAGGCCCTGGGGACACAACGGGGATCTAATCTAGGCCCCTTTTCTCCAGCGAGCCTGGACATGGCCGCAGGGTCCTGGGCACTGCCCCGGACAGCCTTGGCCTTTGAGGCAGGACGTCAGGACAGACCAAACACCTTTGCTGCTTGTTCTGGGCTTTTCTCTTAGCTCACTGCAAAACTTCAGGAAACTTTTCACAATGTAGTCCTCAATTTCGTCACCTGGGGAAGATTTCTATACCAACCCACTCCTTGTGGGGCGGCACACGGGTAGTTCTCATAAAGGACAGCCCTACCCCTGTCCAACAAAGTCTTGTGTGGGGACCAGATCAGAACTGGGGGCCCCACAGAGCTGAAAGAGAAAATAACGCCAGCGTTGCCTCGGTGTCTGCTGCCGTCCTGACATGCGTGTGTTGTGGTGTAGTCTTACAATTCAGGTGTAAACGACGCTTCTCCTTTTATCTGAGTAGCATTTTAATGTGAATTCCTAGCTAGTTAGTGTCTCCATTCCCACCACAGGACAGAAGGGCCAGCGTGGCAACCCCGTGGCCTGGAAGGGAGATGATGTGGTGTTGGGAGGGTGGATGGCAGACAGCAAGGGGCGTGTGGCAGGCAGGTGAGGCACTGGTGGCTCTGCTGGCGGGACACGGTCGCCCTTGCCGGGGAGGTCGAGGGACACTGCAAATGGCTTCACCAGGGACTCCCCAGTGAGCAGAAACGAAGTCCACCCTCCCTACGCTTCCTGGTAAATTCTACCCTTCTTGGTGGTAATTTTCAAAGATTAAAATTTTTTTCTCCAAGCTCCCCCACGCCTCGCCCCCTGTGCTGTCACACGGACCCTCATCACGGTCTCTTCCTGTTGTTACAGCAACAGGAGCCTCATGCGGCCTCGGGGGCCAGCCAGGGGGCCAGAGGGGCCCAGGGTCAGGAGGCCGGCACCTGCCTTCTCCTTCTGTACGATACAGCCTCGAACTTGATGGGCCAGGTTTTCTTGGGGTGGGGGGCTCATCTTGGATTAACGAGCCCCATCCCATTCTTCTCCGGATATGGGGCCCCATGAAGGACTTTTTGTAGAAGTGGGGGGGCAGCGGCAGGAGCGTGGGCGCACTGCGAGCCGACTTCTTCACACGCCTCCCAAGGTCCCGTCCGCTTCCTCCTGGGCTCCCTGGGCGGGGCTGATCTGCGTCACCTCTTTAAACACCCAAACAGCTACCGATCGGGTTAAAGGAGTGAACAGGGCGTGATGCTTCCAATGACTCAGCCCGAGAAACCTGTCTAACGAGCCCCTTTCCCAGCTCCTCTGGGACACCAGAGACCATTCACAACAGAGCCGTCTTCAGCAGTCAAACTTAATCCCCACTACCCTGCCTTTGGGAAAAGAGGGGATTTTGTAACGATCCCATAAAACCGCGTGTGGTTTGAAAGCCCCGGACTCCGGACAGGCGTGCCTGCGCCCAGTAACACCAGCGCTCGGGCGGGCGCTCACCACCGTCACTGTCTGACCTGAGGTTTTCTTCCCGAGAGCATCTCTGGTGGAAGGCTCTGCTGATTTAACACGACTGATTTTCTTAGCCCTAAGCTCCTGGAAAGGTTGGAGCCCAGACAGGCCAGAGTCGGCTCCTCGGTCCCCCGCTGGTGCAGCCCCCCGACCTGTTCGGACAGGGCAGCAACATCCTCCCTGCCTGCTCTTCACTCTCAACACCCGGTCACCGCCAGCTGTGTGGTGGGCGGGCGGGGCTGTGCTCCGCGTGTCTGTGCAGCTGGGACTTCTGAGATGTCTGTGCACTGGGGGACCAGTGTCAGGTGGCTGGGCAGCGGAGACAACCCGTGTCAGCCCAGGATATGGTCCTGGGATCGGACCCTTTCCCCTACAAGGCCAAGCAAAGCAATGCCAAACCTGGGCCTCAGTTCTTTGTCTTCCAGATAAATCTTAATTAGCATTGGATTTAATGAAATTACTCAAACATTCAAAAGATAGGACTCATAGAAACCAATGTCACAATAATGATAGCTGAGAATTACTGATGGCTTGTTAAGGGGCAGGCTCTGGGCTGGGTGTAGATGTTTACCACCCTCCTGGCCCCTCACAACAACAGGGTAAGGCAGGCGATTTTATCATCGTGGTTCTGCGGGTACGGAAACAGAGAGGCTGAGCAGCCTGCCGAGGCCACACAGCGGCGAGTGTTAGAACCGTCTGTGCCCGTTAGCGGCGTCTTTGACCAGGAGCAGCCGTGGGAGAACGAGCGCTGCATGTTCTCGGCCTCTGGGGGTGTTTGCGGCTCTTTCTTGCAAGCTCTGCTGACCCCGTTGCATGTGGCCAATCACCCATCAGCCACTGTGTGTTCAGTCATCTCCTGCAAGGGCCCCAATGGGGCCCATGTGACTCTGGGGCCACGCTGGCCCTCTAGCCTGTGGAGACAAAGAGAGGACGCTCTGGGTCCAGCTGGGTCTGATGGTTGCTACCCCTGGACTTCTCCCATCGGCGTGACCGCGAGTTCTTTTGTTCGAACAAACAAGTTTGTGCTGTGTTTGTAATCAAGAGTCTTGAGCAGTACCAGTGTTCCCTGGACCCTGTGGGACCTGCCTTTGTGGCTGTCCTCTGCTGAAAGACTCCCCACCGTGTGAGATGTGTGTCATCCTTGTACCCATTTCACAGGGAGGTTGACAGAGGCGAGGGGACGAAGGCGCAGCCACTCAGCCCTGAAATGGCAGAGCCAGGAGTTATTGATCCCCCGAGGACCAATATTTTCTAAGAATATTTCCAATTCCTCAGAATACAGGATCAGGCAGGGCAAAGGAAGAAGAAGGAGGAGAGAGAGAGAGCAGGGAGGGAGGGAGCGAGCAAGTGAGACAGGAAAAGGCTCCGTGTTAGCATTTTTGAATTGAGGAATTTAAAATCTTTTGGTGGCAAGTTATGATGGTGTATTTCTAGGGCTTAGGGATTTTAGCTTGCTATTTGTTCTTCAAATAAAAGAATCAGAGTTGCTGACTTAGTTTAAACCAACTCCAAAGACGGCGGAGTTGACTGCTGATTAAAAACTTGTCTTTCTAGGTCTGAGACGGAAGAGCAGCTCTGTGTTCCCCGAGTATGGTGCTTCTTGCAAATTTGATTTTCGTTTGCAGAGTCTGAGGATGTCGGTGGTCGGGAAAATGTAACTTGATTATTAACAAGCTAGAAATAGTATCACTTTGGCATCTACCCATGTGCGATAAAAAAATAAATCAGAAAAAGACTAACGAGGAAAGGAAAGACGATTTTGGAGCCATTAACCTTGAGGTTTTCCTGGTCACCCCATGCAAGCCAGTCTGTGGGCTAATTCCAGAATAAACAGGCTCCTGGATTAATAGAATCTCTAGGTGACACTAATGGGAAGGGTACTTTTTGATTCAACGCACTTGACTCCTTGCTTTTCAGAATTCTACAAACCGCAGCCATTTGACTTCTGCTCTCCTGCCAAGGTGTGCCATCATTTTTAATGGTTAAAGCT